GACTGTCTCAAAAAAAAAAAAAAAAATCATTGTTTTATTCTGTACTTTTTATTTTTATTTTATTATATGAATTTTTTTCCTCTTGTCGCTCAGGCTAGGGTGCAATGGCACGATCTCGGCTCACTGTAATCTCTGCCTCCTGGGTTCAAGCAATTCTCCTGCCTCAGCCTCCCAAATAGCTGGGTTTACAGGCATGTGCCACCACGCCCGGCTAATTTTGTATTTTTTGTAGAGACAGGGTTTCACTATGTTGGTCAGGCTCTTCTTGAACTCCTGACCCTCAGGTGATCCACCCAACTCAGCTTTCCAGAGTACTGGGTTTACAGGTGTGAGCTGCCGCGCTCAGCCTGTTATATGAATTTTTATCATTAATGTCTCAGCATATTTTTGTACTTTTTTTTATGGCATTTGAGCCATCTTTTTTTTTTTTTTTTTTTTTTGAGCTGTGTGGTCTCTCTTTGTAGCCCACGCTGGAGTGCGGTGGCATGATGATGGCTCACTGCAGCCTCGACTTCCTGGACTCAAGTGATCCTCCCACCTTAGCCTCCCAAGTAGTTGGGGACACAGGTGCATGCCACCAAATGACTGGCATATATATATATATTTCTTTTAGTTACTTGTAGAGATGACGTCTTGCTGTGTTGCCCAGGCTGGTCTTAAATTCCTGGGCTCAAGTGGTTCTCCTATCTTGGCCTTCCAAAGTGCTGGGATTACAGGTTTGAGCCACCGCAACTGGCCTTTTTTTCTTTTTCCTCAAGAGTTATTTATTTATATATTTATTTTTGAGATGGAGTCTCACTCTGTCGCCCAGGCTGGAATGCAGTGGTGCAGTCTCAGCTCGCTGCAACCTCTGCCTCCCAGGTTCAAGCGATTCTCTTGCCTCAGCCTCCTGAGTAGCTGGGATTACAGGAACGCACCACCACGACTGGCTGATTTTTATATTTTTAGTAGAGACGGGGTTTCACTATGTTGGTCAGGCTGGTCTCCAACTGACCTTGTGATCCGTCCACCTCGGCCTCCCAAAGTGCTGGGATTACAGGAGTGAGCCACCATGCCCAGCCGAATCATTTATGTTTTTTGTAAACTGTCTGTGGCTTTTTTCTACTTTACAGGATTTTTTTATACATTAAGGAAACAAGCCTTTGACTATGATATTGGAATGCATGTATTTTCTCCCATTTTGCTGTTTATTTTTAATTCATTTATGGGATGTTTTATGATGCAATAATTTTTTATTTTCATGTAGTTGAATTCATTCTCTTTTATTGTGCATCTGGGATTGATGGCGCACTGCAAAATATTTCCCTCTATCATGAAGTATTTTAAAAATTTCTTTGTTTTGTTTTGTTTGAGAGACTTGATCTCATCGTGTGCTGAAGCTGGTGTGTAGTGGCAAGTGGTATGATCATGGTTCATTGCAACTTTATCCTCCTGGGCTCAAGCGACCCTCTTGAGTAGCTGTGTTGGTAGCCACCACATTCAGCCTCTTCACGTTTTTAATCCTATGATTTCTGTTCTTTCTTTTTTTCCTTTAGAATTGTTTTGAGATGTTGGGTCAGTTCAAGTTTTCTTCTCTGTGTTTCTACTTGCCTTTGCACTCTTTATGCTACCTTTATCATATTAAATTCCCCTGTATATATCTATGTTTGGACTTTATTCTGTTCCATTAATTTGCATGTCTGTCTACTCACTAACTTTTATCTCTTTTTTTTCTTTTTTCTTTCTTTTTTTTTTTTTTTTTGAGATGGAGTCCCGCTCTGTCGCCAGGCTGGAAGTGCAGTGGCACCATCTCGGCTCACTGCAACCTCTGCGTCCCGGGTTCAAGTGATTCTCCTGCCTCAGCCTCCCAAGTAGCTGGGATTACAGGCACGCGCCACCACACCCTGCTAATTTTTGTATTTTTAGTAGAGATGGGGTTTTACCATTTTGGTCAGCCTGGTCACTAACTTTATCAATACTTAAATATTTAAGATCTGTCCTCAGATTTCTTTCAGTTATCCTTATCTATTTGTTTTTTCTGTGTAGACACCAGAATTGGCTTCCTGTTTCTGAGGGGAAAAAAACCCATTTTCTTTGGGATTGTATTATAGATTGATGTAGAAAAATTGACATCCTGTAATTTCTCCTATCTTGGAACAAGAGTGTGTTTATTCAAGTCTTTCATGTCCTCCAGAAGTATGTTCAAGTGTTTGTCATGTTATTATATGCTTCTTACATTTATTCTAAGGGTTTTACTTTTTGCATTGCTGTTACGGGTGGAATCTTGTGCTTATGAATATCTAATATCTAGTGTTAGGTTTATTTTGTCTTGTTAGCTTGTATGTCTGTTTACAATAGAGATGAAATCAAGAATAAAAATCAAGAGTGATTTTGGATGTTTTCATTACTGAGATGCTTGAGATGTCAAGAAGGCAGTTTGAATTTTTTTTTGAGACAGAGTCTGCCTCTGTCGCCAAGGCTGAAGTGCAGTGGCCCCATCTTGGCTCACTGCAACCTCCACCTCCTGAGTTCAAGCCATTCTCCTGCCTCAGCCTTCCGAGTAACTGGGATTACAGGTGTGTGCCACCATGCCCGGCTAATATTTTTGTATCTTTAGTAGAGATGAGGTTTCACCATGTTGACCAGGCTGGTCTCGAACTCCTGACCTCAGGTGATCCACCCGCCTTGGCCTCCCAAAGTGCTGGGATTTTAAGTGTGAACCTCCACACCCGGCAAGATTTCTCTCAAAATGTTACTGCTCATTGATAATGCACCAGCCACCCAAGAGTTCTGATGGAGATGTACAAGCAAGGAAGTTAATATTTTCCTGCTTGTTATACAGTATCCATTCTGCAGCCCATGGATCAGAGAGTAATTTAGTAATTTATTATTTATTAATTATATTATTTATTTATTATTTAAGAAACATTTTGTGGCCCGGTGTGGTGGCTTACACCTGCAATCCCAGCATTTTGGGAGGCCGAGGCAGGCAGATCATTGTGGTCAGGAGTTTCAGACTGGCCTGGCCAACATGGTGAAACCCCATCTCTATTAAAAATACAAAAAAATTAGCCCAGCATGGTGACACATGCCTGTAATCCTAGCCACTCAGGAGGCTGAGGTGGGAGGATCGCTTGAAGCTGGGAAGTGGAGGTTGCAGTGAGCCGAGATTGAGCCACTGTACTTCAGCATGGGTTGTGACAGAGTGAGACTCTGTCTCAAAAAAGAAAAAAAAGAAAAAAGAAACATTTTATAAGGCTAGACCTGCCATAGATAGGGATTCCCCTGACGAATTTGGACAAAGTAAACTGAAAACCTTTTGAAAGGATTCACCATTCTAGATACCATTAAGAAAATACATAGCGGTAGCTCGTGTCTGTAATTCTAGCACTTTGGGAGGCCAAGGGGAGCAGATTACTTGAGGCCAGGAATTTGAGACCAGCCTGGGCAACATGGCGAAACCCTGTCTCTACAAAATGTTAGCCAGGAATGGTGGCATGCGTTTGTACTCTCAGCTACTTAGGAGGCTGAGATGGGAAGATCACTGGAACCCTAGGAGATTGAAGCTGCAGTGAGCGGTGATTGTGCCATTGCACTCCAGCCTGGGTGACAGAGACAAACAAACAAAAAGAGTATTCATGATTCTTGGGAGGAGGTCAAAATATGAACATTACCAGGAGTTCAGAAGTTGGTTGGAACCCTTGTGAATAACTTTGATGGGTCCAATTCTTTAGTGGAAGCAGTAACTGTAGATGCCAAGAGAACTAAAATTATAAATGGAGCCTGGAGATGTGACTGAATTGCTGCAATCTAAAACTTTAACACATGAAGAATTGCTTGTTAGGGAAGAGCAAAGAC